TAATCACACAAAAATTACAAACAGCAGTTAGAGAAATCTGAGATAGAGCAAAATAAAGAGTAACTTCCAAGTCAGAAAGATTAAGAACTATGTTTACATGTCCTTTTTAAAAGAAAATAAGACTAAATGTATACATTCTGACATGACTGTGGTTTATGCCTACTAGCATTTCTATTTTATTTAAAGGCATACAAGTTATATTGCATGATTTAAAGCAGTGACAGACTAACATCTGGCAGAAGCAGTTTTGGTAGTGCTTGCCACCTAGTGGATTACCGCTTATGTACACATAGGATGAAAAGAGCCATTCTCCACAAAATATTTGAAAATCTGATTAATCACATTATTTAATAATATCCTGCAAACTTTGAATACAACTAAACTTTTTTTTTGTCAGAATTAGTTACAAATGAAAATTTAAAGGAAAATTGCCAACATTTATATGCCCGATGAGACAGTCAGCTCGCTCCTGATAGAGGCAGTGTGAGGTAAATGAGCAGTCAGTGCATGTAGGCAGGGAGCTTGGACCCAACTGCAGACTCCAGCCCCAAGTTGGCACATGTTGGTGTAGTCTATGATGACCATATTTGCCAAATGTGAGCAAGCATATTGACATTTATGCCAGTTTTATCTTCTAGTTTTATCTTCTTTTAGAGTTCTGATATCTCTGTTTAATTTGGAGCTAATAGAAGAGATGAGGAAAAATGAGCATTACTTGCATTCATTGGCATCCATTTGGTTGACCTGGACTCCAGTCCTTTCCCATGTATTAATTCCTAACTGCCCACTAGATTTGCAGAGATCAGGTCTTCACTATCCCATCATACAAAGCAGAGCAGTTCAGAGGTTGCAAGGCTTCCATCAAGTACGCGGGGGAAAAAAAAAACCTCAACACAAATGCCATCCATTGCCTTTCAACATTTTGAGCTCCCCATTCCAAGTTGTTTATAATTGAGCTTCATTATTAATATTTTCAGGAATGCTTAGAAAATTTCAAGAGCTTCTTTGGGAGTTTAGCAATTTTCAAAAACAGTAGTCAGGATGATAACTCAGTCCTTACCAAATTTTAAAATTTGTGATTTAGTAACATAATATAGTTCTGTACTGAGTGGCATCATAAGCTTGAAAAATAATTTTTATTAGCATACAAAAAGTGTAAGGAAAATAGACATTGTAATTAAACATTTGTTTTTATCTACAAATATGTATTACAAGAAAACAGTAACATAATTCTTAAAGTCCTTGTGAACAGGCAGAAGCAAAGAGTTTTGTAAAATGGAAACAAAAGTTTTCTGAAATAGAAAATATTTGACAGTATCTTGTAGTATCTCAATAAAATTTCCATGTACACAAGCAATCTGTATTTACAATCATGTGCAATCTTCTTGATTACATGTAGTAAGAAGTGTACATGTAATAACTGTACATTCAATATTAAACTCTGATTTGTATAATCATTTCTCAGATGCATTAATGCTGGAACAAAACTCGGTTCTGCTTCTGTGCCCAGTACTGTAAGACAGTGTGTAAATCCATTAAATGCTTTTTTTTTCAGATATAAAAATCCTAGCTTTTATATTAGGTTTGTAAGTTCCTATATTTTAATAGGAACACAAATTTGGAATGTAAGCTGTACAATCATGTCTCTGTAAAAACATAATAATTTGGAATATTCCAAAACACCCATTAAAATGCTGATAAAAAAGTTGGAACTGTTATTTGCACTTATGTATACTGATAAAATATACCATTTTAGTTTCCATGAGGTACTCCTACATGTAACTGCAAGTTCTATGGAAGAATAATTAGAGGAAGGTCACTTAGGGAAACAGATTTAGGATTATCTGTTTTTTGTTTGTTTCTTTTTCTTTTTCTTTCCTCTAGAAAGATGACTCTCCAAAGTCCTTCCTATTTTATTTAGCATTTGAACTAACTTGAACTTGATAAATACAAAGATGGTTTTTTATCTGTTTGAAACAGAAACTATAGCAAACCTGTAGCATGCAAGCCTATTTTAAATTGCACACATCAAGGTTGACAAGAGTTTAGGAGCTCAGAGCTACTGCATCTCGGAGAGACCTTCCAAAGTGGAAAGGAGCAAGAAGCCCATGTAATGTGCATCCAATATCACTGCTTACTTATGTGATACCGTGATTTCCCATAATAATTTCCCTGTGATTTTCTACTAGCCTCTTTAACCTCAAATTTGAAAAAGAAAAACACAGCCTGGTAGATTACCCTTGAAAGGTTGGTAATCCTGGGTTTGCAGTGAGTTTTGTTTCATCGAAATAGAGACAGAAGAAATGCCACCATTCTTTTCTGAAGTATCATTACTCTTGGATAATACTCTTGGGCATAATTATTACTATAGCTTAATTTTAACAGCATACAAAACTGTTCACCTACAGGTTGCTCATTTCAACACATCCAGTTCACTGATGTAAGAAAGAAATCACAGATTTTGTGAGTTTTTTTGTTTTTGTTTGTTTGTTTGTTTTTCCAGTATATCATATGGTTATAGTTTCTTCCAGAATATTCGCCATGACTACCTTGCACACAAACATACGCTTTTATTCAATGAGCTAGTGCCAGGCAAGGACTGAATTAGCTAATTTCATGGGAGGATAAGACACAGGAATAGGGCAATACATGACAACTTAAAACATCGCCTGCGTTGCACCTGATGTGAATAAATGAACTCATACTCCAGGAGTGTGAACAGAGCACCTATCACAAACACTAAATTTGCAGCCACCAGCTCTGCATTGCTTACTGATTCAACTAAAAAAACATAGGTTTGTCCGAGAAGAATATAAAGAAATTATAGGAAAACAAGATAGCAGAGTTAAGTGTTCTCCAGAAGCTACAGTGACTTCCTACTTAGCCAGCAATATATAAATTTGTAGTAGGGTGAATAACATAATAATATCATGTCAGTTGAATACTGATGTCATGTAAAAGGAACATTTGATTTTCTCTTGGAATATCATTATCAATAGTATCTGTATTTATTCAGAAGCTGCTCAGTACATTTTCAGGGAAGAAATAATTTTGTGGAACTTGAAAAAACACATGCTCGAAAAACAGGGGAGAAGCAGTCCAATGCACTGTGCAATGTGGGACTGGCGGAGTGTCACCCAATAGGATAGTAAGGCCTTCTCTCATACGTGAGTTCTACATGCAAGCATTTAATAGCAGGTATTTTCCCAATCATTAGACGAATGCTAAATGGCTCCCGGGTATCCACATACATATGTGAGCAGTGACATAGAACTAGAGGATGCAGCCCTTAAATACAAAGTGGTACGATGCTAGCTTTCTACACTGTACTTACCAAATAACTAAATGTTATTGCTAGATCAAATAACAGGACCTGAGATGCACTTTGTCAAAGAATATCCAAAATAATGCATATCCAAAATAGTTTATGCTAACACAACACTTTGAAGTAGAAAAATTGCATATTTGGCAAAGCTTAGTGTGACTGAGTGTTTTAAAAAGCTGAACTGAATGAAAATTAATGTAGACTTAAAAAAAGTAGGAAATGGTATGCTGAACCACTATGTAGAGTTCTTTGTAACATGATTAGTGATCAGTTTAGAACAGTTACTGCAGATATCAAGATTACTTTAGTGAGCTCTGCAGCTTTTGTAAGAGATCATAATAGAAAGGCTCATCACTTTGGACATATGCAATCAAAAGAATCTGTTATTATTCAATGGTAGTAAAATAAAAGCATTGCTTATATTTGTGAAAAAAGAGTAATACATTAATACTCTAATTATTAAAATAAGCTATAAAAGTAAAGTGCCACTACAGACTCAAATAGGATTATTTAACATATTATTTTTTAAATAAGAGAAATTTAAATGGCTTGATTAGAACAAAGTTTGTCTTCACCCATGCGACGCCAGTGTGGAAATCCTCAAACTGGCTTTCAGTTGGCTGGTAACCTCGTCACGCCAGCAAAGCGCCACTCTTTCTTGCAAGAAAGTGTTTTTCACTCCAAGCTCTTCTCTCTGTGATACTGCTCACAGAGTACTCTGGCTTCCAGTTTCCTAGTTTCTAGTCTAGTGCCGTAAATCAAAGAGAATTGTACAATCAAATAAAGATAGTAAATACTGCCTTCTGGGATCGAAGGAAGACTTGATTTAAGTAATATATGTATAGATATGAATATGAACACACATACACACTTAAAATATATATTCTATATATATACACACACTACATAATGTGTATATATACTGTATATATACTTTATATATATATATATATATACTTTTAAAGTATCTGTAGTTGTCCAAATAAGAAAAATTCTGCCTTCGCTACCTCAACATTTCCTTGCACTTCAGTAACAATCACCCATATCCAAAGCTAATTCTGTCTGTACAGAGCAATGTACCCAATATAGTTAAAGAGGTCAAAATTTAAAATCTGATAAACAATGTAAATGTTTTTAAAAGCAACATGACATTTCATGACAATTTTAGGCAAACTGTTTCATTTCTTTCTCTGAATTTAAAATCTATAAAATTGTACAGTGCAACTCTGCAAAGTGCTGATGACCTCAAACCCCACAGATTTTAGCAGCCAGTGAGAGGGTTCATCAGCTTAGAAATCAAGCCTTTTAGAATGTGAACATTATCAGAAAAATTATGTGTTAACCACTAAATTCTCTTCTCTGAAATACACTTACAATTCTTGTTCATACCTGTAAGATTCAGAAAAAATAGTCTCAATAACTTTTCATAACTATAAGAGATACAGGCATTAAATTCAGAAGTGACATAGAAGACATTTTCCCGTTACATCTACTTTTAAAGGCATTAAACTTATCATGTTTTTCGTTCCAGCTTTCGCTTATTTAATGAGGATTAAGCATGAACCAATATTTGGGGCTTACTGGAATTCAAATTCATATGCTGAAAACTCGAATAGCTTTGAGCAAGACCAACTGAAAATAAAACCCCAGCCTATTTCTATATGAGTGTAACTGAATCAGAAGTATTTTTTGGCAACATAATAGTGCTGTTAACACTGTATATTTTCTTTACATCGTTGATCGCTGGCCTGCTTCATCAAGCTTGAGGTTTCGTTTTCTGGCTGCTTCGCTGTTGAAGCCCACGTCAGGTTTATCTGCATTGCTGCAGTCGGTCATGGTGGATTCGGCTTCGGTGCCTTCGGAAGTCCCTCCGTTGGGCCGCGGAGCCTTGGGCAGCTCTTCAGGGGGGCGTCTCCAGTGGGGCCGGCTGGCCATCCACAAAACCAGCGCACCGAAGATCACGATTAGAAGGCCAAGGCAGTTGACAAAAATTGCTTCTGGGGGAGATTCCCTATATGCAGGATTTTGCCTGGGAAAAAAAAATAAATAAAAGGGTAAAAAAGACAATTTTTAATGGCAATTCTGATCTAAAAGCAGTAGTCTCTTGCTAGACAAGATGTCTTTTTAGAACAAAACAATGATTCAATACTAGACTGCTATTATTCTGTGTGAATAGGAGTACAGTTTGCAATGAATAAATTTAATAAAAAGTAAATAATACTTACAGTGAAAATATAAGCTTTTCTGTGATTCCCATGAGAGCTGATGCGATCACTGTTGCAAAGATGAGCAGGCCTGAATAAATATGTATTGGCATGAGGGCTGCTCGAAGCCAAACTGGAGCAAAAGGGAGTAGAAAGATTGCAAAACCCAGGAAAAGCTAAACATGAAAAAAGATTCAGAGGTAAGAATTAATAGGATGCAAGCTGCACTTTTCAAGCAGATTGAAAATCATGATAAAAATTCCATTTTGAGATGTCTTTGCATACAAATACAGTAAGAATCAAGATTTTTATTTTTGAATGTATTTTCTTTCAATACTAAAACCAAAACAATAATTATAGATTAGCACCTGTGAAAAAGACATTAAATATTTTATAAATAAAGCTGAGTGGTAACCTTAAAACCAAAACCAGAGTACTGGAGAAACAAAGTTTCAATGACACTAGTAATACCTAAAAGGTGTGAGTAGCTACGTTTTGATAATCCCATCAACTTCTCTTCAATTTCAACTTCTCCCCTTTTATTATAGATTCAGACATAAATGAACATCATAAGGCAGATAGTTATCTGTCCTCAGTGAACTGTAGAATTTCACTTTGTTAAGTAGCTTTGGTTATGTTGGTAGCAGCCCCCAGAAGGCCCTGCTCTCCATCAGAATACAACAGTCAGGTGGCATTCACAGAGTGAGGGTGTGTGGGGACAAGGGAACATGTTCAGGGGCCACCCAGAAGGCCTCCTGTTAGTACTGGCTGGGTGCTGGACCATAACCCATCACATTTCATCACAGACTTGCTCAGCCTCACTGAGGCTGCATCCAGCTTTACTTTGTCCCATCATTACTTACTCCTGCTGCTAAATTAGAAATTGTCCGTGAAATTTTAAATTCATCTTGCTTTAACTTACAGCCTTGTTCTGTCTTTCCATGCTGGCTTCAAGAGTCTGGTGTTTTCTCCCTAGGAACCTTTTTAATACACTGTAATCAAGTCATCTCTTAATCTTCTTTTAGATTTGAACAGTAAGAGCTTTTTAAGTCTTTCCCAGGAAGACAATTTTTTCCTAGCTCTTATATTTCTTTTGCAACTGCTCTTTATATTCCATATTCCGTACTTTCCATATCAGTTTCCCTAATTATGAGAGTATTTTTACCTCTGTATAACAGTTATTTTTCTTGTTGTCACAGCATCACAAGAACTCATTTTGTGTCACTTTGAATACTTTTTTTCCAAAGAAAGACATTGCTTTCCGAAAGACAGTCTCCATTTAACATTTTTGTTCTATTCTCAAACTGTAACTGTGCTATACTGTGTTATGTAGTGTATATATACACACACTATATATACTTTTGGATTCAGTTCAACATATTTACACTTCTGTTTCTGCAGATATATTATTATTGAGCATCTCCTCAGGAATACCACTAAGAATGACTATTGGAGGGAAAATATTTACAGTAAATTGTACTTGTTTTACCTCTTGTTCATCTTGCACATTAAGTTTTTGATCAACATACCACTTCTGGCAAATGCAAAGTGTATTTCTGTATAACAAAAATACTACTTTATTAGTATTTTCTAGTAACAGTTCTCAATCACTTTACAAATTCCTGTTAAGTCTCTGACCGGAGACTTGCATCCCAGTTTGGAAGACATAGTATCACGGCCTGGTATTACTATGGCAAAGGCAGCCAGGGCTTTGAGTTAAGTGACACTGATTATGTTCATAGTAGCAAAATGAGAAGCAGATTGAAGGTCAGCAGACAATCCAGCGGTAACTCGTTCACACATCTAAGCCTTTAGATCTTTAATGCCCCCTCTTGCACACTTGAGGTCAAGAAGTGACAACCTAAAACTATACTAATTCAGCTGAGAACTCCGTAATAACTGTTCTAAAGATATTTAAATAAGCTCTTGACAAACCAAATCACTTATTTCTCTTAGAAAAAATACACTATGGTTTTGTAGATGAAAATGTTCTTTCATAGTGATTTTTCAAAGCAGTTCAAGAATCCATTAGGACCATGATGCTAGTCTACACATTCAGTTGTTCTCCTGTGATATCACCTACTGTATATTCTGTATGATAACACACTACTGTAAACCTGAATAGTAAATAAACTGCAATTATCCCAGCAAATTAACAAAATATGCTTTAAAGTGCACTTTTCTGTGAGGTCAAGGATAAAGTATTTGCACACTTACATACTAATTTAACACATGACAGAATATAAAATAGGCATCCCAATAGCTACCACATAGTGCCCAACAGTGAAAGCCTACTATACCTAAAGTATTAAACACATTCTTAAACTTTACAACCTGGTTATAAATAAAGTTAAATGCTGACCTGGAGAGAATAAAGTATAACAGCAGCCAGCCCAATCCAGCTGTGCAGGCTGTACATGTTGGGAATGTTGCTGGCATTGTGGTAGTCAAACACGGCTACCATAGAAACAATTGCAAGAATCATAGCTATGGTATTTAACCCAGCGTGGATGAACTTCATCAGGAGTTTGCTGCATTTCCAGGTCCAGGGCAATCTATATACAATAATGGCTGAGAAAAGAACAGAAACAAGATTTCATACCTTATAGGATAACTTTTCTAAGATTTTAATAATCATGCATCATTCCAATACAAGTTACAGGAAAATCAAATACTTAGTCCTCCAAAAAAGTCAGTTAAAGTGTTTTCCTTCTGTACAACCTAACACATAACGTATTCCAAATATAAAACTGAGGCTTAAATACAGTTGTTAAGGAGATTTCTTCTAACTTCAGAAAAATGTAGATACGTTTCAAAAAATAACAGGAAACAGCTCTATTCCTGCTTAAGGCCCCACTCCTTGAAGTGATTAACTAAAGTGAGAAATAGGTCCAAATTCTTTTATCCAGAAAATCAATCACTAGAGAATTGTGTAAGAATGTTTTTATATTCATTCTCTTTGCCAGTTTTGAATGCTCTTATCAAGTAATTATATAGGTATGTATAATAATTATCTATTACATAAATATTAATAGGATTATTTTAAAGGAGAAAATGCTACTCTGATTTTAAGGGAGTCATAATTTGACTCTAACAAATGGATTTGGTAAATAAAACTCTTCAAACAATCTTAGATGAATGTAAGCTTTTTGCTTGTATTATCATATATAATACTAGGGGGCTGTGATGTGTCTAGTCTGAACAAAACGACACTTTCTAAACAGCAATTGAACTCCAGAAGGCCCATGAGGGCAAGCTCAACAGCAGAGAGCTGCTTCTTGCCAGGCTTTTTTGTCAGCTCCCCACTGCCCCATCCCTTCGACAACTGCCTGCCACATGCCTGAGCCACAGGTACTTTACTAGGGGAGCCCGTGGCTTTCGCATGGATCAGACCATGCGACTGAAGCCCCAGGTACATCTTACTACAAACCAGTAGGGCTTCCAGATATGCAACAACAGAGAAGGACGTTCAGGTAATAGGGGACAAAGACTAATGTGCACGCTCAGTCACTTGACAAAAAGAAGACTAGTGCCCATATCCTGAGCAAAAATACTGAGCTTTATTGAGCTGGTTCAAGAACTCCTTTAATCTTTCTGGCAATTAAATGGCATTCAAATTCCTCTAAAAATCAAAGAATAGAATGTACACAGGCTTAAATAAATGTTTCCATTCCAAACATTCAGAAACACATTATTATATGCACCAGATAAGAAAAATATGTAATAAATACCTGATAAATAGAAAAAGGAGGAATTTAGGCAAGTAGTTCTCATGCCTTTCTCATTAATCATTTTTTTCTTTATTCTGCATGTTCTGCTGAATAGTGCTGAATACTAACAAATGACAAATTAATTTTAAAGCTTTATTCATACTTATGTATTTTTACTTGGATGCATGCCAAAAAGCATAAGATTGTGCCAAACAACTGACAAAGAAAACTCTGTTTGCAAGTGGAATTTCCACCCCGAAAGTGGAGTTTAAATCTATGCCTGCTTTTACTCACTGTGTCAATATATAATACTAGAATGGAAGTGATCAGAATATTTAACACTTCAGCGTTCTCTTTTTAAAAAAGTAGAATTAGTAAATCAAAATCAGGAAACTAGAAGGGTACTGTCCAAGTAATCAAGCTGTAAAATGTAGATTGATTTCTGTGGTTCAGCACATCAAGCTTATGATCACCTCCAACAGTTCTCAAAAAGTTATATAGAGGATAATATTATATCTTGTTATTGTAATAATTGCCTGAATCGGACCGCTATTATCAATTGATTTTAAATTATTGATTAGAATTGCTGGCTTTGTACAGCATTTATGCCACAAGACCCCAGCTAAGCCTCAATATCATATGGAGGTATTTGAAACTGTATGATAGAAAAGCAAATGCAGAGTGAGAGCCTGGGCCCTTGTTCACATTGCCACGCATCAGTTACATGGAACATGTTATATGCCATAGCCTAGACAGAATGCATAACAAAGCACTTGCACTAAGGGCTGCCTGTGACCTGGGCAAATCTGCTGGTCCACCACTGTCAGAAGAGATAGTCCCATTTCCCCACCACCACTTTTGCTCTCCATGTCACTGTGCTGTCCCCTACTTTGTCACAGCGGTGTGTGCCTGAGCAGCAGGAGGGAGCTGGGGCACAGAGGGGACAGAAGGAGAACTGATGGAGGAGGAAACTGCCGCTGTCAGCGGTATGAGCGTTAAAGACTGGCTCAGCAAGAGGTAAAAGCACATACAGAGCTCCTGTTCAAATGATACACCTGTTCAAATGTCATACTAGTGCAGAGCTGTGAACAACTTTAGTTTAGCATCCGCTTGTAAAAGATTAAGACTAGGCATCCTTAGACAGAGGTTCTTTACTTTGATCTCAGTCCTGTTATGAGCTCTGACTTTAAAGAATATCACACAGGACTGAGTGAACGTGCAATAGCTTGCATTTGGTTTGAAATACCTGTTCCTTATCAACCATACCTAGAAAAAATAATCTGAAATTAGCTTTCTAGGAGTTTTGGCTGTTGAGTGCTCTGTAGAGGTGGCAAGGACTGCTGGGGAGACCCCTCTCACGCCAGCAAAGTCACGCAGCCTGGCTCTGAGTCCGCGTGCGCTGACACAACCCCTCTGAGCTGCCAGAAGGAGCACTCCTCCCATTTCCTTTGCTGTTCCTTCATGGACAATTCTGTTGCTTATTTTCTGCCAGTTCTGGATGCCTGCTGGCTTCTTTTGAGAACCACTTTAAAATGGACGAAATTAACCCAAAGGAAATGCCCCCATTTATGATTTCAGCAGAGCTCAAACTAAGTTTGTCACAAGAGCTGTCTCTTCACAGCTTGGCTGTGATGAGACCCTGAGCTCAGCAGTTGCTTCCCTTTCACATTCCTGAAAATTCTACAACCCATCAGCTGCTGGAAACTGCAGGAGCTGGCTGTTTTTCCTTGGAACAGACGTTGTGTTATGTTCAAATAAATGTAATCGTGAAGTTTGTCACATAAAGCAAGCGTTATCCTCAGGAGTGATTTAAAGATGAAGGAATGTTTGAGAGATTTGCATTGCTGAAAAAGGATTGTGATCAGAGGATATAAGAAAACATTATAAAAATTGTATTTCACACTGAAGATCTTTTGATCTTTTTGAATTGCTCTACCACCTTAGGCAACTTGTGAAACTCATAACCCTCTCCAAGGATGATGCTTCCTGCATAAATCCTAGAGCATCATCCTTTTTGCAGCTTTGTTAGATGGCTGCTTAGTCACCTAGAGCAGTTACGTCTGGGCACTTTGCAACTTCTCTGGCCAAGGTCAGGAGGAACCACTGTTACTCATTTAGTCTTTAAAATGAATGTTTAATAATCATTTGAGCCAAACTAACCTCTTACTGCTGCAGAAAGGTGGGGATTCTCCTATATTTTTCCCTCCCTCCTCCTCCTCTCTGCTTTTGTGCATGGTCCACCTTCTCCCTTCTACCATCTATGGCACTTTTGAGTCCTGCTGGAATGAGTTCAATTTGTTAATCTAGCAAAATCTCAATTTTTTGAAGGGTGTTTTGCTTTTCTGGTGAGCACTGGATCTGACAAGCACAAGAATTGGCGCAAACAGAAAATGGCAAGAAGATGAAACCAAAGCACAGAGAAAGCTAAAAGGGAAGGAGGAAAACAGTAGGTCTTTTTCAGCTGGAGTGAACTGTTAGATTGGCTCATACACCTATGTAATTTCATCCATATAGAAGAAATTTAATTGACTCTGGAATATCACATGATAATGTGGAAGACTGGGACCTTTTCTTTCTCCTTTTCCTTAAGATTAAGCAACACTTCTGTTTATTCCTTCATTAATACATTTCTGCTCCTAGACTCTTGTTTACAGGCTGTTTAAAATGCAAGTTATATGACTTGTAAATGATATATAAGAAATGTTAATTGTGCAAATATCTCTCATGATTTATAAAGTCAGCCTTGGTGTAGAATTTATTAGTCATAGAGAAACTCTACATAAGCACAGAAAGCATGATCCAAAGACAGGAAAAAAGACTGCCCCGTCCTGCTGGCTCTGACTCTGTGTAGTTTCCTACAGCCCCCAAAACAACCAGGCTTCTCCTCAGTCTCCAGCAGAGATCAGCATATCTTTGTAGAAAACGAATAACTAAAACCACTGCTTTGTTAGGTCAATAAAGAGATGAGAAATCCTCAAAAATCATTTATCTCCAATTAAGTCTTGATAGCTCCCATATTTATTTTCCTTTGGGAAGGTGCCAAACACTATGATTTGCAGAACAAACATGAACTGATATGCAAATACTGCTTCGGAGTATGGTCTGGTGCCTACAGTCATTTGTCCAATATTTCCACATATAAAATAAGACTTTTTAAAAACTTATTTAAGTTATATTATCACACTACTATTCCTTCAAGCTATTCTTAAAATCCACTTTTTCCTCATTATTTTTTCTATCTTTTTCTTAAAAGTACTGCCCCATATCCACATTATTATAGTCATCCCGCCTTCTATAGGCCATTTCTATTCCTATTTGTGTAGGCTTTACCATTCCCAAGAAGCAGGTGGTTGTTTGCTATCATGAAGACTCACCCACATTACTTTGAATTCGATGGCAATTGAATTTGATGGCAATTGAATTCTCTCAGCTAAATTTGGATCAGCTCCATCAGCTCCACAGCAGAATCTTTGCTGTTAATATCTCATTTAGAATGGTCTTCCTTCTGTCTCTATCTTTGCCTTTCTTCTAAGATGATAGGAATTCCTACTTGAAACAATGCTCTATTATCAATTCTTTGGACATACTCTTCTTTTCAATTCTTTGGTTGTAGTCTTCTTTTCAAGCTATGGTGAACTTTTCTTTACCTTAGAAATACCCTTACTTACAGCTGAAGCAAAATCCTTACTCCATGATGTGAAGACAAACTAAGTTTTCAGTGAAAAAAAGAAAAGGGATAGGAAGAACTTCTGCAGAAAACATCCTTTTATTTTCTGCAAATAAGTTATGTAAAAAAAAAATCTGTAATTTGATCTCCTGGTAAAGTCAACAGGTGTTTTATTATTGTTTTATTTATTTATAACCTAAAATTACACCTCACATGACATATTGGGCAATAACAGCAAACTGAAAATATAAAGCAGCTTCAGAATGTCATAGCGCAAGCGGAGCAGCCCTTGCTGCTCATGTGTGTCCAGCCTTGAACGCACCATGCACATGTGGCACCTTCCAGTTCCTCTGGAACCAAAGTCCAGATGTGCTGGCCTCGTTCCTGGCTGGATGAATACAGTGTGTCATTCACTAGGGAAGCTCATGTAAACAAAGGTATTAAAAATGAAATTGTAATCCTCCTTTTACAAGGTACTCCTGTTTACATTTATACTCTATGATGTTCTTCGTTACTTAAGAAAAATGAAATCTTCCCCTCAACTCTCCCCAGAGAAATCGGTGGTAAAATTATGGAGAATTTCCACTGTTCTCAGCAATATTTATTTGTCCTGCTTACTAATGTTTCATTAACTCTCCTCATGTTGAAACTAGTAAGAAGTTTGTCCCTGGCTTTATGGGAAATTATTGCTGGAGTTGTTCTCTCTGCCTCTTTATCCAGTTGTTTTCACCTCCAAATTTCAAGATTCCTAAAGTACTGTCTAGTGCCCTTATTTTTGTAATGTTTAGATCCAGTTTAAATCTATGCATAGGCATAGCTAAGTTAGCAGATCTAAGTATTGCATTTCTCTTTCTTTTTTTTTTCTTTTTTTCTTTTTTTTTTTCTTAACTGAAACCATTTATAAACTACATCACGTCGGGCCTTTTTTTTTCTATTCTCTTGGAATTAATCAATAACACTAACAGCAAAAGCACAGTTCAAAATCCACCTTTCTTATCATCCCGAGAAGCCGATAAAACCCTTGCACTTAAGACATAACACGCTAAAGGCGTATGATGGCCACAAAGAAAAAAAAAACAAAAAAGGGATATTGTTAATGTCGTAACGGGGAGCACTTAAAAGCCGGTCTAAGCCTCAGCAGCACAGCAGGCAGTGAGAGGTTCCTGCCCGCTCGTCCCGCACTGCCCAGGCGCCACCAGGAGCGGTGCGTTTAGAAGCGCATCCTAGAGCGTACCTCGCCGCGGCCCGCGCCACCCGCTCCCCGCCCG